GTGAGCCAGAGGGGGAGCTGCAGGCTGGGGGTGGGAGCGAGGCGTGAGTGCTTCAGGCTGAGCAGGGGCAGCTTCTCCATGGGTCGGCAGGGAACCTGAGTGGATGCAGCGGGTTTGGTTCCTCACCTGGTCTGTGAGCCGGTGTGGGGCAGGGTATCCATGGCCTGGTGGGGCTGCGTAGTGCTGGAATGCGAGTCATGCAGGTCCATCTGAAGCCCCTGGGGCGGGGGAAACCCCCAGGAGCCAAGCACACCCATTCTGATGCAGGCTCTGGGGCTGTGGGAGTCTGCTTCCTGCCCCAGTTTTCCTTACACTACGCCCCATGCCCATCAGGCAGCGTGGGGGCAAAGACTGGAAGAGGGGAAAGGATGGTGCGTGCTGTATCCGGCTGCCAGCCTTTCCTGCGGCTCTTGGTGTCGCCCTCCTCCCATCTCCTGCTCTTTCCACAGGTCCAGACTAGGAATATCCGCTGCCTGCCAGATGTCCTGGTCATTAACTGTGAGGTGAACAGCTCCAAGGAAGCAGATTTCTGGAAGACGCAGGCTGAGGTGGGGGAGACACTTTGGGGCAGAAGCAGGCTTGTCCTCCCTGGCACACGGGGTTTCCATTCTTCGGAAGCATTTTCGCTGTGATCTTGCTGTTCCTAACAGTCTCTTGCTCTCCACCCAAGCATCACCATACTTTGTCTGCAGAGGACTTGGTGTTTGGTCATGCACGCAGCATGAGCTGTGCATTTGGAGTTGGAAAAGACGAGATCTGCTGCCGTGACAAAGCTGACAGGACTTCAGTAGAGTCACGCTTTCATTCCCCCAACCCCTAGGACCTAGGAGCAACGAGGCAGTGCCTGCTTCCCCAAGTACACGCGCAGCAGACGGCTGGGTTTCCCTTGCTGTCTTTTTCCTTGTCACTGACTTTACAGTCTCTGTCTTTTCCTTGCTGCTGGCCTGGTTGTCACCCACGTGTTCCCGAGCCCTGCCTGTCGCTCCGTGCTGACGCTTCCCTGTGTTTCGTTGTCAGTATGCCTTTCAGAGAGCCCTGATGAAGAGAGGAGGCTTTGAGATCACCAAAGGCAAAGAGATCTCTCTTGGGGATTGGTAGGTGACTGTTCCTGGGGTGGCAGCGATGCCTTCTGGATTGCTCCAGAATTCAGGGCCATTTCTCATTCAGTAATCATTCCACAACCTACCTGCCTTGCTTCTTGTGGACCCTAAACTGGAGCAGTCTCTCTGCTGCTGAGACTGACCCCGTGCAGGCGCTCAGACACCCTCGTAATCCACAAGGGTTGTTCGTGTCCCCTTGTGACCCTCTTTTGAGCCCTCACTCTCCATTGTCCATCCCTTTTGAGGCTGACAAAAGGCTCAGGGCCACGTATCAGCCCTTCTTGGTCGACCTCGGCCTCCCCGGGGCTCTGATCTAGGCAGATGCACAGGAAGGTTTATAAAGGAATGGGTGGGTTGGTGGCCCGGGTCCTGCTGCAGGGAATCTGACCAGGGCTGCATCTCATGAGTGCCTCCAGCTCTGCCTTCTGCGATTCTCCTTGCAGGAAGGAACTGGGAAACCCCGAGGTGGGGCACTCGTATCCCTCAGTGGAGGAACTGAAGAACATTTGGATCCCGCACGCCATCAAGATGAGGCTGACCAAGAATAAGGAGCTGGATGTGTGCAACTGGAGCGAAAGCGATGAGGTAAAGGCTGACGACAGCCCTGTGGGACGGCGGGAACAGAGCGGCTGTAGGGCCACTTCCTGTTGAGGGATGGGGCGAGAGAGAAAGGGGCCGTCTGGGAGGTGGACGTGGCCAGCCTGGACAACCCTGCGTGTCTGAGCTCTGGGGTTTGGGATGGAGACACTCAGACGTTTTCCTCTGCTGTTCCTCCCCCAGCTGAATCCGTCCGATGACCCCGAGTCGGTTTACGTCTACGATCTCATGGCCACAGTTGTCCACATCCTGGATTCCCGCACGGGGGGCAGCCTGGTGGGTCACATCAAAGTGGGAGAGACCTACCACCAAAGGAAGGAGGTGAGGTGCCCTCGGGCCTGGGGCGCTCCTGCCTCCCCAGGAGTCGGTGCTCAGAGGTTCAGGAGCTGGGCTGTCTAACGGAACCGTTCCCAGTGCTCTTGCTCTCTTACTGAAGTCTGAGTGGGACTTAGTGGATGTGCCAGGCAGCCTTCAGCAGGTGGGTGCTGCTCAGGCACCCTATGGGGAGGAAAGGGCTGAAGAGGCACTCTTCCCGTTCTTTTGGGGCTGGTTCCTCCTGGGTCGCGGGCGCATTGCCAGCTCGTGCTTGTGGTTCCAGGTAGGGGCTGTGACTTCATCTCCCTTCCAGAGGAAGCGGGGCTGGTCTGGGCAGCGCTCTTGTTTGGTGGAGATGCTCAAACCAGGAGTTCCCAGAGTGTGTCAAGACCACATCCCTGCCTGTTTTTGTTGCATCTCGGTGGAGTGCCCGTCCAGCCCCAGAGCTTCTGTGCACTTGTCACCACCCAGGCCAGCAGGGATTTCCCCACAGTGTCCCAGGAAGGAAGGGAGTTCCCACTTGGTCACACCCCTCTCCAGTAGCTGGTAGAGGAGTCACTGCGTTTGCCTGGGGGGCTCTAATGCAGCGCCTGTGCCTCTCTCCACAGGGAGTCACACACCAGCAGTGGTATCTCTTCAACGACTTCCTCATTGAGCCTGTGGATAAGGCAAGTGAGAGAGCCCAGCCGCTCCTCCCCTGGTGCTGAGCCGCGGGGTTTGGGGATTGCTGCTGCAGGCGGGGGCTCTCTGCCACGTCCCTGTCCCTCCTCCCTGCAGTGCGAGGCGGTGCAGTTTGACATGAGCTGGAAGGTGCCAGCTATCCTGTACTACGCCCGGAGGAACCTCAACTCCAAGTACAACCTCGTCAGTGAGTGTCTGAGCGGAGCTGGCTGCGTGGGGGCAAGCTGTGTGCTCCCAGCTGATCCCCCTTCCCTTCTCCTGCAGTCAAGAACCCAATTGAAGCCAGCGTGCTACTGGCAGAGGCCTCTCTGGCTCGCAAGCAGCGCAAGTGCCATGCCACCTTCATCCCCCTCATGCTGAGTGAGATGCCACAGGCGGGCGACCTGGTGGGGCTGGATGCCGAGTTTGTCACGCTGAATGAGGTCGGGCAGCGGGGGACAGGGCTGTGACTGGGCCAGGTGACACGGGGCTGCAGGAGCTCTCTGTCCCTGAGCTCCCCTCTGGTCTGTTGCAGGAGGAGGCTGAGCTGCGCAGTGATGGGACCAAATCTACCATCAAGCCCAGCCAGATGTCGGTGGCCAGGATCACGTGCGTGCGGGGTCAGGGTCCTAACGAGGGCGTCCCCTTCATTGATGACTACATCTCCACCCAAGAGCAGGTACGGTGCCCCTGGTGGCTTTGTGCAGGGGCGGCATTGCCTCTCCTGCTGCTCCCTGGAGGCATTACCTGGGACAATGGCAGCGCCCGCCCTGGGACACCGGGAGGAGCAGAGGGGGTACAGATCCTGTGGGTGCCCCTGCCTGCCCCAGCCCGGCACCCTGTGCTCTGTCAGCGCAGGTGGTGGATTACCTGACGCAGTACTCGGGGATCAAACCCGGAGACTTGGATGCCAAGATCTCCTCGAAGCACCTCACCACTCTCAAATCCACCTACCTGAAGCTGCGCTTCCTCATCGACGTGGGTGTCAAGTTTGTGGGCCATGGGCTGCAGAAGGATTTCCGTGTCATCAACCTCATGGTGAGAGCACTGAGCCCCATCCCTGGAGCCCCGCGATGTCCTGGGGGACAGGGGGGGGCCCATAGCAACCCCTGCACGTGGAACTGTGCGCCGCCAGCAGCAGCAGCCTCTGCCTTCCAGGTGCCCAAGGACCAGGTGATCGACACCGTGTACCTGTTCCACATCCCAAGGAAGAGAATGATTTCCCTGCGCTTCCTCGCCTGGTACTTCCTGGGTCAGTGGCTGCGTCCTGTGCTCCAGGGGGCTGCTGAGCACGGCTCCCCCGGGCTTCTCTCCCCCTGGGACCACGCAGGGAGCCCTGCACTGAGCCGGGCTTCCCCTGCAGACCTGAAGATCCAAGGTGAGACCCACGACAGCATCGAGGACGCGCGCACGGCTCTGCAGCTGTACCGCAAATACCTGGAGCTGAGCCAGGGGGGCAGCGAGCCGGACGACTTCCGCAAGGTGCTGAAGGCCCTCTATGAGAAGGGCCGCAAGCTGGACTGGAAGGTGCCCGAGCCCGACAGCCAGAGCAGCCCCAAGCGTAAGCGCCGGGACCCCGACCCCCTGCCCCCCACCCTGCCCCCCCTGACTCCACTTCATCTCCGCAGATGGGGCCGTGTTTCCGCCCGTGCTGGCGCTGTGATGGGGACGAAGAGCGTTGGCACTGGAACCAGCAGTGGGGCCGGGGCTGCCCAGGGCTCAGCGCTGCCTCCGAGCACGCGGCCCCGCACTCCCCGCCGGTACCGGGAGGGGCCGCTCGTGCCGGCAGTACGGCGGCACGGCCCGTGTTCTCCGCCCGCCGGTTCGGGCGCAGCCATAAAGCCGCCTCGGAGCTCGCCTCGCGCCGCCCTTCTTTTGCCGCGGGACCGGGATGGGACCGGAGCGCGAGGGGGCGGGGCTACACCGAGGGGGGCGGGAACATGTAAACGAGGCGGGCGTGGCTACGCGCAGAAAAGGGGCGGAGTTGTCACAGGCCCCGCCCCCTGGGGCCGACCGCCACGCGGGCCGGGTCCTGCCGGCTCGGGGCCTTTCTCCGCCGGGGGGTGGCCGAGGCGCTGCCTGCGCGCGGGGCGGCCCGTCCGAGCTCCGAGGAACGGCCTCGACCCCACGGCAACCGCCGCCGCCCCGGCAGCCTCCATCGCCGCCCTCCCGGAGGGGCCGTTCTCCGCCGTAGAGCGGCCGGGAGGAGAGCGGCGGGACAGGCACAGCGGCGGGCGGCCCCGGGGGACGGCGGGACCGGGGGGCGGCGGTGGCGGCCGGGGGCTCGACCGGGGCCCGGCGGGTGAGGGGCGGGCGGGGAGCGGGCCGCGCGCGGCCGGGGCGGAGGATGAGGACGATGAGGAGGGGCCGATTCTCCATCCCGGCCGCGCTTTGTGTGGCCGCGGCTGTGGCCGCGCTTCTGCCCGCGGTGAGCGGCCGGCGGAGTCAGGACCTGCACTGCGGAGGTGGGACGGGACGGGACGGGTTGGGTGCGGGCGGGGAGCCGCCACGAGCGCGGCGCGGCGGCTGGGATGTCGGGCTCCGAGGCCGCTGACGCTCCCGTCCCGCAGCGTGCCGGGCGCTGGTGGACGAGCTGGAGTGGGAGATCGCCCAGGTCGATCCCCGGAAAACCATCCAGATGGGTTCGTTCCGCATCAACCCCGACGGCAGCCAGTCGGTGGTGGAGGTGAGCCCCGAGCCGGGGTGCCGTGGCGTCGGGGTTACGAGCGGGGCCGTATCCCGGCCCCCCCAGCGCTGCTCCCCCGGCCCTGACCGCCCCGGCCCCGCAGGTGCCGTACGCCCGCTCCGAGGCTCACCTGACGGAGCTGCTGGAGCGGATCTGTGAGAAGATGAAGGAGTACGGCGAGAAGGTGGATCCGTCCACGCACCGCAAGAGCTACGTGCGCGTCATCTCCCACGACGGGACCAAGCTGGACCTCTCCGGGGTCAAAATCGACGGCGACGTGGCCTCCAGCCTCAAGTTTGCGGTGCGCGCAGGGGCGGCTGCGGGACTGGGGGCTCCCTGGGTTCTGTTGCTGACCCACACGTGGTTCTGTTGCAGTGTGAGAGCATCGCTGAGGAGTACGAGGATGAACTCATTGAGTTCCTGTCCCACGAGGCTGACAACGTCAAGGACCGGCTCTGCAGCAAGCGGACGGGTGAGCGGGGAGGGGGACGGGGGGGGCCGTCTGCCATCAGCCGCAAGGACGGGGGGCACTTCAAGGGGCGCAGAGCCCCCCCTGTGAGCTCTCCCTGGGGGTGGCTCGGGACTGCCCCCTCCAGGTGTGTCCCCGCGGCTGCCTGCTCTCCTCCTGTTGTTTTTGGCTCTCTGGGAGGCGTTTCTTAAAGATGTTGCTCCTGGAGGTGAGGAGCAGCCCCAGCAGGGGGCCGGGAGCCGCAGGATGGGAGCGCAGCCGTAGCCGTGCTGCCCTGCACTGTCCCAGCCCACGCTGTGCTCCCGCTCTCTGTGCTCCCAGTCTTGCAGGTTTTTTTGGGTGCTGTGCTTGGGGCGACCCAGGGCAGCCGTCCTGCTGTCCCCATTGGCCGCCCCGGCCCCGTGCTCCCCCCGCAGCCAATGGCCTCATGCCCACTCCTGGCCTCGCGGTGCTATTTCTGGTTCACAAACACCAGGGTCAGGGCACACCACGACCTTTGTGCTTCCTTTATTAATGAGCGTGCTCCAGGCTCATTATCTGCACCCTGACACCAGGGCAGATCTGCTGCTGCTCCCCTATGCCTGGGGGATCGGCTGTGGGGCGGATGGGGGTCCTGGGGGGGCTGCGTGTGGCTCTGAGCAATGCTTTGTCCCCACAGATCTGTGCGACCACGCGCTGCACCTCCCACATGATGAGCTGTGACGCCGACGGCCCCGGGCTGCGCCGACCCCACGACAGCACCATGCTGCCCCACAGCCTCGGCCCCCTCCCCGCTGTGGGGGGGGATTCTCCCGTCCTATTTATTCGCCGTCCATCCCCTGCCTTGTGGGCAGGGACGCGTCCTTTGGTTGGGGGCGTTCTGGTGGCTGATGTGTGGCTCCAGGTTCTCTCTGCTGCTGCCTGGGGCTGCTGTAGGGACAGCGGTGCTGCTGTGGGTCTGTTGGGCACCCGGGGCCCAAATGCAGGAGGCAATAAATGGGGCCCGATGTGGGCTGGTGTCGCTGCTGTGCACCTCACTGGGGGTGGATGGGGGGCCGGGGCAGGGAGGGCACACACGCACAGGAGCGACGATGGCACTGTGCCCTTTGACCGCAGGCTGCTCTTCCTTACGTAGCTCCATGCTGTCACTGCCCCAGTGCCCCCGTGACGCCTGCTCCTTCAGGCAGCCCCTGTCCCCTTGGTGCTGCAGGTGTGCCACCCACTTGTCGTGTGGTGCCACCGTGGGGTCACCAGGTCAATGGCCCGGGGTTATTGGGCACCGTGACCCCCCCCCACCCCCCTGCCGAGTCCTCCGAAGTCACCGCAGTGCAGTGCGGTGTTGTGGGGTGAGCGCCGTGAGCTGAGGTCACAGAGCAGCACTGAGCCACAGCCGAGCAATAAGGAGGGCACGCGTCGGGAGAGAGAGAGGGGGCGATGTGGAGGGATGACGTCACGCAGCAATCCGTGATGTAACGATGCTTCGGTGACGTCACGGGGCGGGGCTCGCATCACCGCACCCCACGCCCAGATCAGGCGAACGCGGAGGCCACCTATAGCCCGGCCCCCCGACGCCTCATTTGCATAATCCCGCCCCATCAGGGGAGAGCACGGCCAATAGCGAGCGGCTCAGCCCCGAAGGGGGGGGGCAGGGGCGGGGCTATGCTAATAACGTACGCGGCGCCGCGCCTCGCCCCGCCCGCCGCGCCGAGGACCCCCGGGCGCCGCCGCCGCCGCCGCCGTTTACTTCGGTCCCGGTCCCGGCCCCGCGCCCGCTCCGTCCGCTCCGCCCCGCGCCGCCATGACGCTCCTCGCTGCCGGCACCCGCGCGGCCGCGCGCCTCCGCGGGCCCAAGGTGAGCGCGCCCGGCCCCGCCGTGCCTTAAAGGGGCGACGCCGTGGTTGGGGGGGGAGGGGGGGCTGCGTTCTTAAAGAGGCG